GAAATGCAACAACCGAGAGAGCATGAGAGTTTTAAGGGGCTAAAGGATTCTTCCATGGGACAAGTACTTATTGAATAAGGACTTTCGAATAGGGATGCCAAACGGAGTGGTTCGGTAGGGCGGTACAGTACGGGTTTAAGGCTATGTGAGGCGGTGTGGGTTTAAAGCTATGGGCGGGGCGGGTTGAAATACCTTTTCATAAAAATTAATGCGGTGCGGGATGAGTTTGAAATACCTTTTCATAAAAATTGATGCAAGGCGCGGCGGGTCGGGTTATGCGGGTTTAAGTAAGTTTTCTTCTTATTCTTCCTAATCAAAAAATAAAATATTTTTTTTCTTGACTAAACTTCATGGCGGCATTTGTGTGATGGTTTTTTTTTTCTGGTGAATCTCAATAGAGGAATGAGATTTAAGATCTCGAAAAAAAATATTCTTGTAAATACTATTTTACAATAAATACTAAATTAATACATAAGGGGTCATTTGCATTTTTCACAATGAGCAACAAATATTTTTTTTTTAAATTGAAGAATTCAGTACATAAGCAACAAAAGAACTTTCAATTATTTGGTTGATTAAATTGAAAATTTCAGCCAAAATATAAAAAAGAAATAAGCAAACAAAATGAAAAAGAAAAAAACACTTATTCGGGGTGGGCGGGCGCGGGTGCATGTGGGGTGCGTGAACGCGGGTGAAAATGCTATGCGGGTGCAGGGCGGGTCAAAATCTTCGCGGGTTTGTCTCGCAACCACACCGCTCGCCATCCCTACTTTAGAAGATTCTAATAAAATTATTTACAATATTGAAATTTGGTTGTAATGAGGATGTGCGGGCACACTAGGATGGATAAGATTAGAAATAATGATACTCGGGAGAAGGTGCACGTCGCTCCCATTGATGACAAGATGCGGGAAATGAGGCTCAAATGGTTTGGGCATGTTAAGAGGAGAAGCCTAGATGTTCCAGTACGAAGGTGTGAGCGTCTGGTTGTGAAGGGCGAGAGAAGAGGTAGAAGGCGGCCTAAGAAGTATTAGGGAGAGGTGATCAGACAGGATATGGCGAGGCTTCAGATTTCCGAGGACATGACACTTGATAGGAAGATGTGGAGGTCGAGTATTAGGATTATAGGTTAGGATGTAATTGAGTCTTGCCTACTTCGTACCATTGTGGGACTAGTATGGTAGGGTTTTCTGTCTAAGATAGCTAGTGACAATGTTGTGTCTTACTATTTTCGCTTTCTAGTGCATGACCTATTTACTAGCTATCGCTTTTGCTTTTTCTTTGCATCTTTCTTCTGGATTTAATGTTGTTCTTATTTTTCTTTTGATTTATGTGGTGATACTAATATTGTCTCCTTTTGTCCTTTTTATCTTTTTGTTTTCTTGAGCCGAGGTCTTTCGGAAACAGCCTCCCTACTCCTGCGGGGTAGGGGTAAGGTCTGCGTACACACTACCCTTCCCAGACCCCATTAGTGGGATTTTACTGGGTTGTTGTTGTAGTAGTATTGAAATTTGGTTGTACAATACAAATAATCAGACAGAAGCTTTACTGGATAACCAATTCAGATAAAAATACAACCATGATTTCTTAAACAATGCCATTCCTTAGCAGCATAACCAATAATCCCTATGTCATTGGCTGATCTATTGGTTAGAAGGGCAAAATGAACAGGAAGAAATTGATTTTTGACAAAGAGAAGCAAGTCAAATATCATACTTTATAACAAGAAGTTGATAAATACAAAGCCCATTATGAAACTGAAATTAAATCAGTTCTTGCTGTTACACACAGATACACTGTCAGAAGATATGTATATTAGAATGTACTATGCACACAATACGTATACGTCTGTATAGAAATAAAGCATATTAGACTGATGCAGTACCAATGTGCTTGGCAATGGCCTGCTGCAGCTCATCTTTTTTAGCTCCTACAACCTTATCGACGATATTACCCTCCTTGAGGAACATGAAAGTTGGCATTGCCTCCACAGCCCAATCAGTAGCAACCGACTGTAACAAGGAAATAAGATGTAAACACAAGTTGTCACTCATCTCAATTGGATATCGTAATTCCTATAGGAATCATTAATAGGTTAAGTATAAGCAACTCAAGCTTGTAAGTATACTGTGACGTCAAATTTACCTTCAATTCATCCACATCCACCTTCAAGAAGGTAACATTGGGTAGTTTCTGGGCCAATTCTGACAAGAATGGGGCAATGAACCGACAGGGACCACACCAAGAAGCAGTAAAGTCCACGACTATCTGGGACAACAGTAATTTGAATAAATGAAGTGCAAAGACAGAAGGAAATAGCTAGAAAAGGACCATACATACTCTAACTTTCAGCTCTTGATTTGCATTCAAGATAGGAAATATCTTTATCACAATATATACGTCTATTTTCCTTATTTAGTAGAACTAATTGTGAAACATACAATAACCTACGATCTCAAGAATAATTGATGCTTTATGCTCATATCCATTAATAATAAACTCATAAAACGTGGAAGGAAGTCGTCTTGAGTTAGCATTTAGCTGATATAATATGTTATATTTCTTTAGCATAGAAAGAGAAAGTTCTCCAAGTATAGAAGCAGATAAGCACATGAGGGGTAGCCCTGCAGCCTCAAGGCTGCTTTTTCACTGATGCGGTATAGACGATAAATCTGCAGTTCACTCACTTGGTCCTCCATGCTTTCAGAACTTCAAAATATATACATATAGACAGCCAAATGAGAGTCACGAAGTTGACAATGCAACATCCAAAAAAAAGGTTCATCCATACCAAGAATAACATAGCTTTTTTCTTTTTTAATATCACCATGCCTAGAGGCAAAGCTCAGGCTAAAGAGGTGGAGTTTGGAAATAGTTTTTAACTAGCAACAGACGCACGTCACTTAGAACCTCACAAGCTTTGTCATTGTCCCAAGTGCAAAATCTTTTCTTGCGCAAAGGATAGAGCATATTGTTTCTAGATGAAAAGATAAAAATTGTATTATGGTTCCCTTTAAAGGGGAGAGATGGCTAAAAAGGAAGTGGAAGTGTTGATTTACTTCTGTCTTAAGGAGTACAAGTCATTTACTTTACTATTATTTGATACGGTAGAAGAAAAAGTAAAAAGATACGGTCCATTTTAAATGATTTTCTGGTCTTTTAAATTTGGTGCAAAATAAGTGATTTTTTAAAAAACCAAGAAGATTAATCTTTTTCCCATATTTACCTTTGTCTAATAAATGTTGGTGTTTGTTCAAGGCAATTGAATTAAGTGATTAAAGAGGTGTTTTTCAAGGCAATTGAATTAATCAATGTCAGAATGGTTTCACATCTCTAATACTACTCCCATCACGTCTCATCCTGGCTTATTGTAGCATAGATTTCATTTCATCTCTTATTGTAAATTTACCTCTTGAAAAAAAAAATGGAGAGGTGAATTGAAAGATTTTACGATTCCATGGATATTGAAGTTGAAGACCCACTTAAAACAATTCAACACTCGATGGATATCAAAGACTCAATTGAGTGGATTTGATGACTCAATGAACAATCAAAACGAAAACTCAATTGATAGAGTTGAATACTCAAAGAATGTTGAAGACTCTGAAGAGATAGTTGACTACTCAAAGAATGTTGAAGACTTTGAAGAGATAGTTGAAAACTCAAATTAAAAAGTTGGACTAGATTTAGACTTGAAAATTTTAGATTGGGGTTTTGATTCGAACAAACTTCCTGATGAATGTTGAAAATTTTGATAGTGAAATGTTGACAATTTTCGCTCCAATTTTTCTTTTTGAATTCAAATTTTCATTAGTAGGAGTTAAATCATTATCTTGCATTCCTAGTTCCTACTTCAAGCTTTATCTGTTTAAATATTCAAGCATAGCATTTTGACTTCAGCTAATTTTCGTCGAAGAAAAACTTTATGTTGTTTCGTTTACTGCTAGGTGCTAATCATCACATATCCTACATCCAAATAGTCATTAAAAGGTAAAAAAAAAATGAGAAATATTTAAGAAAAGAAAGGATAATTTAGTCAAATAACTCTCTTAATTAATGCTATTAAGTAAAATTTTTAATGGGTGTGCCAAAAACTAGAAAATCATTTAAATGGAACGGAGGGAGTATTAATTAAGGGTTATTTGACTAAATTACTCTTTCTCTTCTTAGACTTTTCTCATTGTTTTTTACTTCTAATAATGACTATTGGAGTTTAAGATATGTAATGATTAGCACTTAACAGCAAACAAAGCAATCAATTTTTCTTCCATGAAAAATTAGTTGAAGTCAAAATACTTTACTTGAATAGTTCAAGAAATAAAACCTAAAGCAGGGATGTAAGAAAATGCAAATTGATAGAAAACCTCATGCGTAAAAAAGTTCGACTACGACTAATGAAAATTTGAATTTAAAAACATGAATGAAAAATTTTATGGAGCCAAAATTTTCAACATTGCGAACAAAAATTTTCAACTTTCCTATCATAACCACAATCTAAAATATTCAAGTTTAAATACAGTCTGACTTTTTTATTTGAGTCTTGTAACTTTCTCTATAGAGTCTTCAACATTCTTTGAGTATTCAACTCTCCCAATTGAGGTTTCAATTTGAATGTTCATTGAGTCGTCAACCTTCTCAATTGAGTCTTCGACTTCCATCGAGTCCTGAACTCTTTCAAGTAAGTCCCAACCTTATTATCCATGGAGTTTTAAATTCTTTCAATTCATCTCTCCATTTTTTCTAAAAATAGATCAATAATATGAGATGAATTGAAATTTATGCTATAACAGGAGATGTCGTAACATCATAGGAATGTTATTAGAGATGTGAAACCATTAACATTGTCCCTACGGGGACATCAAATAAAGGAAAAAACATTAACATTGATAAGTTCAATTGCCTTGAAAAAATCCCTCTTTATTCACTTAATTCAATCGTGTTTAAAATAAACCAAATTTATTAGACATGGGTAATTTGGGGAAAAAATAAATACCTTCTTGTTTTTTTTTTAATCACTTAGTTTGGACCAAATGTAAAAGGTTAAAAAATCATTTAACATGGACCAGAGGGAACATGTACGGAAAAGCCTGATTCAATTTTAATTGTTGGGTAATTGAAAAAAAGAAGAGAAAAGATAAATGTAAGAAGAGAGAAGGAGGCTAATTAATAGAATTAATGAAGTGGCTTTCCAATTTTCTTAGTAGAGCACTAACAACAACAACAACAACAACAACGACCCAGTATAATCCCACAAGTGGGGTCTGGGGAGGGTAATATGTACCCAGACCTTACCCCTACCCCGAAGAGTAGAGAGGCTGTTTCCAGGAGACCCTCAGCTCAAAAAAAGCAACAGGAGCCGATATATTAGTACCATACAAAATGCATAATACAATAACAGCAATAGTAGAGCACTAAATAGTAGGGAAGTTGAGAAAAAGACAAAAACTAAAAAGAAAAAAATAAATAGTAATCCTAGCGAATGAGATGTACCACCTCATCTCCTCTTAGACCAGCTTTGTAAAATATATCATAGATTCTTCCAGCAAACCCACCAGTTGTAATAGCGAACAAATGCTAACAGTTGAACTCGAAGAGGGGTACGCGGTGACTCTTTCCTTGTGCAAATTTCACATTAGAATGGAAGGAAAAAATTAGGACCCTTATAAGGCTGAGTTCAAGTTTCAACTATTGATGTGCCTTTTGGATTAAAACCTAAGGGGACAAAACTGTGAGACTCCAAAAGTTGAGCCAAAGCGGGCAATACCTAGGCAATTGGGCTTGGGCGTTACAATGATACCAAAGCTAGTACCTCACCTAGTACAGTGGTGGAGCAAACCTCAGGAGGACGTTGAGTACGTAAAAGGGTGTTACTGTAATAGCCCATGGACCGTAATAAGTTGAACTTGAAAGGGAGTTCTCTATGAAGCTTGCACTCTGGCAATTCCCATATCAGAATGAGATGAGAAATCTGGCAAATAAATGATTCAATTATTGAGGCACATTTTACGTTATAGCCCAAGGGGACAAAATTGTGAAGCTCCAAAGGTTGGGATAAAGCGTACATACTTACCAGTTAGATCCAATTGTTACACCACCCAAACCTCTTTAGAGAAGTTAGAGTGGTCATTTTACAACTTTGCGTCTCTGTGACTAAAACTACCAACCTCTTGGCTGGAAGTGGAGTGATCTCATTACTGGAGCAACCTCGTCACCTTACAACAAGTATTTCACTGTATGAATAATTAACAATAGTTAAATTAAAGTACTTATGCATGCATCCCCAAAAAGTGTAGTAAAACCCGAGCAACAATACAATTTAGCAAACTCTAATATCTTGAAGCTGAACATAGAAATGGAAACTCAAATAAAGCTTTATCATGAGATGAAGTCTTGTAATTTCAGAGATATACCAACCGATCAGATTCAAACTTATCCGTTATTTCGAACTATGTATTCAAAGCTATGTTAATTGGAGTTTTGTCCTAACAGTCACCATGACTGACAAATCTCCTCGCCAATATTTGTTACACGACCTATTTTGGCCCTTTCAACATTGATGTATTGCTGGCCAACATTTGGCCAAATAATTTGAGAACTGCTAAGAAAATACTGGCAAAAGTTTCCTAAGCCTATTTTTATAAATGACCCAGTATCCTCTCACGTTATATGCACCTCTTATTTACCTTCCCTCTCCCAGTGTCCGTACTTGAACCTCATATGTGTATTCCTCGTAACAAGTCTTATTTTGTTTTATTAATTTATTTTTTGAATAAACCCACCACCCAAACCCCTTTGGAGAAGTCAGTAGTCTCCATTTCCAACTTTGCTACCTCAATGACTCGACTTACCAACCTCTTGGTTGGAAGTGCAGTGCTCTTCTCACTAGAGCAACCTCACTTGTCACCTTAGAAAAAGTAATTTCCCGTACGAATAATTAAAAATGGATAAATAAATGTTATGCGTGCATCCCCACAAGTGAAGCTAAAAACAACTCCCAACAACAATACAATATAGCAAACTCTAATCTAGAAGCTGATCCAGAGAAATTACAAAAAGGATAAGCAAGAGTTTTATTCATGAGATGAAGCTTTGTAGTTTTTAGAGTTATACCAACCATTCTTTCGAACTATCATACTATTAGAATTGGTATTAGATCCAAGTTAATCCAGATTTTGTCCAAACAATCACCAATGCTTAGGAATTTCTTGAACAATATTTGGCCAACAATTCTAAAATTGTTTGGCCAAATGTTAGCGGACAATACTCAAGTTAAAAGAGCCAAAATATGCCACATAATAAATTCACTGTATCAGCCAAAATTATATTGGGACAAACTAGACCAACAGATTCGCTACGTTCCCTATTTTAGCCTTTTCAACCTAATGTATTATTGGCCATTATTTGACAAAGTATTTGAGAATTGCCGGACTAATATTGGTCAAGAAATTCCTAAGAGTATTGTTATAAATACGCAATGTCTTCTCAAGTTAGATGCACCTCTTCACAAATTGAGAAACATTTCTAGTGTTTTTTCTCTTGTATTAAAGTAGAGCGTATGGGGAATTAGGTATTAGGAAACACTTGTGTGAACTTCTTTGTGGGTGCAATGTATGAAGTTACTCTTTCGGGATATTTTGGGACTAATCAAAGTTATATCTATAATTTTGTACTCTCTTTTCCATAGCCCATTGATATAGTGGAATTGCTCCTCTCTCGCCATGTACTATGTCTTAAACACGAATTTGTACTACCCGAACTCCCAATCCTTTATTTGCTTTAAGTTACCATTATTATCAATTTTTGTCTAATTATGCACAACCCTAACTCTAAAAAATTATGCACGTCCCGAACTCCCAATCCTAACACATACAATGAAAATTGAATAGGATTATTTCTGAACTTACTGCTCATCATCGCTAGCAATCAATCGGCATAATAAAAATATTACAAAATTTAAATCAATACACGATTCACTGAGAGAAACCCATGTCAGATCCAATTTGTATCATATGAAATGCAACATAACAGAAAACTAAAGGAAACATTAATTAACAAAAAATAAAAGATTTAAGGAAAACGGAAAAAATACCAATTTTTTGGTGTCAATTCCTTTCTGAAGCTGCTCGTTCCAAGCATCAACGGTGTGACAACCGATCACCTGTCCCTCCTCTGCCATTTTTTTTTTCTCTTTTTTTGGTTTCAAGTTTTTAATGATTTTTGTTTTCTCCTAAATTCGTTGAAAACAGAAAGCGCTTGTTCTTGTTTTCCGGAGCTATTCTGCCTCGCTTTATATAGGAGTACTGGATGTTCAATTACAAATATATCCCCAAAAGCCTAATTTAATAAAAAAAAAAAAAGAAGATTTTCAACAAAAAACGAAGCCGCCTAAATTCTTTTTTTTTTTCATCCGTTGTCTGCTATCCGTATTGGAGCCCGATGATATTCGAATTCACACTGCGTAGGATCCCATTCGGGGGGAAGCGCTTTTTCTGGTTTCTCATCCGGTGTCCAGTACCCGCATTGGAACCCGATTATATCCGAATTCGCGCCGCATAGAGTCCTTAATCGGAAGAAAGCGCTTCATACCAAGTATTTTTTCATACTCAGGCTCGAACCCAAGATTTCTGGTTAAGAAAAAAGCCGTGCACGGTGGTAAGAAGCCTAAATTCAATTCTATTACTTGACCATCATTTTGAAAGCTTGACTTGACCTTTATATTTGTTAAACTTTTTACATTAACAATTATTTATTTAAGCTTGTGACATTTAGGAAAATATTACAAAATCCCACTCTAGTTCCAACTGAAATCTCCTTTCACTGGGTACAAGTCTTAAATAAAAATTAAACCATTTGGGACTTATAGCCTGTTTGACCAAGCTTCTTTTGAAGCAAAAGTTTTTTTTTTTTTTTTTTTAAAATTAAGGTGTTTGGTCAAGCTTTTGAAAGGAAAAAAAGTACTTTTAAGGAGAAATAGAAGCATTTTTTGAGAAGCATAAAAAATAGCTTCTATTCAAAAGTATTTTTTTTATAAGCGCTTTTGAGAAAAAAATATATTTAGAAGTACTTTTTAAAAGTTTGTCAAATACTAATTACTGCTCAGAAGTGTTTTTCAAATTCAATACCAAACATAAATTGCTTCTCACCAAAAGCACTTTTAAAAAAAAAACACTTCTCAAAATAAGTTGATTTAAGAAGTTTGGTCAAACAGGCTATTAATCTTTTGATCATGCTGTAAGATTTCTGTGGTTTTAAAAGCATATTGTTAAGGATAAAATATAAAATTTATAACAATATTAGTTATAAAAATGATATTTTTCTTATTAACGAGCAAATACCGTATAAAATGGAACAGAGAAAAGCATATTTTTATTCTCTTGAAAGTAACATCCATTCTATTTCGGTCACCACAGAAGAAGATGACTGCAGAATATTTTTATCTATCACGCATGGTCTTGCATTATATTTTTTATTAAAGAATAAAATAAAGCAAAAGAATTTTAGATGGACCGCCATGAAGCTGAAAATGACATAGGAGCATAATATTGGGTACCTAAAAAATAGAGATGGATCTAATTGAAGTAATAATACTTATTTAGACTGAAAACAAAAAGAATTAATCAATAAAATGAGTAGAATTTCTGGAGACAAAAGAGACAATACAAAGAGATAGAGAGGATATGAATTGAATTAAGTCGATGAAAAATTCAAAATAAAAATTAGTTCGAATATTTCAAATACACCACTATCTATTTTTGCAGTGTAAATAAAAATATCACAACAAATAAAAATTTGAACCTTGGACCTCAAACTGAAATTGGGCCCTGACTGTATTGGGCCTCTTTCTCAGTCGGTATATCGGCGTATTGGGCTTGGGCTGAAATGCTGAATTATCAACTCTAACACTACCAGCCAGAAATTGGGAGGAAGTGTAGACATACCCGAATTTTGAGCCACAATTAAATTTATACCCGCATTATAAAAAAAAAATTGTAAGTTATCCACTTTATAGTACATTTTACATGTTGCGTCTGAAGTTAAAAAAATTCGGATAGTTTTTGCGTTTGAAGTTCTCCTCGTGACAGTGTAAACTTCAAATGTAAAATTACAAATTTCGGGTAATGTTCTCGCCCCGGCAGTGCAAACTTCGACAATCACGTATGAAATTATGTAGTGTAAACTTCAAAGTGCAAATATTACACTTAAGACTAATTAGTCTGAACTGCAGCCAAATTTTTTTGCATACATTGAAGAGCTTTTGGGCTTCTCCTTGGTGCAGGGCTGAACCGAATACTGCGTTCAAGTTGTGATCAGGGGCGGAGCTAGAGCTTCGGATGGGGGTTCGGCCGAACCCAGTAACTTTGGTCCAAACTCTATATTTACCTTTAATTTTCTATTAAATATGTAAAAATTGTGATATGGTCTTGTTGGTTCAACAGTACTTGGTCCTTTGAGAATGACTAAGAGAAAAATAATTTACTGATATTGCATATTTTTCAAACCACCTTCCTAGCTCTAAGTATCTCAATCCCGTACCACCTGAGTTAAGTGTCAAATTATCACCACACTTATGGTCCGGTGATATTAGTAGGAGTCTTTATACAATTTGTAGGTTCGATATTTGTTGACCCTTTCCCTTTCCTCTTCTCCAGAGTCGGATCCAAGATTTAAAGTTAATAAGTTCCTACAACGATCTCAACTTAATATACAATAGTTTATGAATTCACAATATGATATTTATAAATATTATCAAATCAGCAAAGAAAATGTGCAATTGAGCTCGAGGAGAGCTCCAATGCCATGAGTGGAGACTTGGAGGAGAAGACTGGAAATGGGAGCATTTGTAAGAGGAAGGAAAAATGAATTTGGAAAGAAAAGTCTCAATCACAATAGCTCAACTAAAGTGTATATATACAATGCAAAAGTAGAAGAGAAACTAACGGAGCCCAAACCCCAATTAACTGACTAACTAACTTTAGGAAGGCTAACTAACTCAACTAACTACCTAACTGCTTGGTACTACTCGTAATGCTATAAGTACAACTACCCTAAAACAAATATAAATAATACAATTTAATGTATGTATCCTAATGATCTCAATACCCCCCTCTCAAGTTGGAGGTGAAGTTGTCACTGCCAACTTGCTGAGAATGTTGGAATGTTTGATCCCAGTTAGTGCTTTAGTAAGAATGTCGTCAAGTTAATGATCAATCCTGATATGATGTAGAGAAATAAGCCCTTCTTGTAGTTTGTTTTGAACAAAATGGCAGTCTACCTCAATATGTTTCGTTCATTCATGGAACACTGGGTTCCTTGCTATGTGAAGTGCTGATTGACTGCCATAGAAAACTGCAATAGGACTAGAGAAAAGGGACTATGAGCTCTTCAAGTAGCCTTTGTAACCATACTAGCTCACCAACCACCTTTCTAATGGACATGTACTCTGCTTCAGCTGACGGCAAGGAAATAATTTTCTGTTTCATTGATTTCCAGCTGACGGGGCTATCTCCCAGTAGGAAACATACCCAGTAACTGACTTCCTGGAGTCTAGGCATGATGCTCAATTAGAATTACAATATGCTCTCACTGTATAATCAACATTCTTGGAGAAGAAGACTCCTAGGCTAGGATCAACTTTCAAGTACCTCAATAGGTGATATGTTGCCTTCAAGTGGGGTTCCATTGGATATTGCATGAACTGGCTTAGATGTTGAACACTAAAGGCAATGTCCAATCTTATGTTAGTCAGAAAATTCAATTTCCCAACTAACTTCCTATAACAGCTGGGATCTGACAAGGGAACACCTTCTTTTACTTTTAACTTCACACTTGGATCAAGGGGAGATGATAAGGAACTACAACTGAGATAGTTATACTCTTTCAAAAGGTCAATGACAAATTTTCTTTGGGAAATGATGACTCCATCATCCTTATAAATAACTTCAAAGCCAAGGAAGTACTGAAGTCTCCCTAGATCTTTGATTTTGAAGCTATCATGTAAAAACTTCTTCAAAAACTTTATTTCTTCAAGATCTATTCCTATGAGTATCACATCATCTACATACATTGCTACATATATCAAGGATGCCCCATTATTCTTGTAGAACAATGAATATCATGCATGGAATGTTCATAACTTCTAGTGCTTCTGTCAATTTTGCATACTATTGTCTGCTGACTTGTTTCAAGCCATATAAAGATTTGTTTAGCCTACAAACTAATTATGGTTCAGATACTACTAGTCCAGGATGGACCTCCATAAACACTTCTTCATTCAAATCTCCATGAAGGAAAACATTATTTACATCTAGCTAGAACATGTTTCACCCTCTTTTGACTGCTACAGCTATGAGTCCTCTCACAATGCTCATCTTTACCACTGGTGAGAAGGTTTCTGTGTAATCTATTTCCTCTTGTTGTGTGTATCCTTTTACTACCAAACGAGCCTTAAAACCTTTTAATACTTCCATCAGCTTTATGTTTCACTTTATGCACCCACATGCAGCCTATGGCTTTCTTCCCTGCTAGTAGTGAGACTAAATTCCATGTGTTATTGGCATACAATGCCTCAAAATCTTGTGTCATAGCCTCCTACCAAGCAGGATTAATACCTGCTTCTTCATATGAAGAAGGTTCATTATCTTGACAAACACTTTGCATAAAAAACTGGCTATCATGGATTAGAACCTCAGGGGAAACAGAATGATGGTTTGACAGCAGTGCATTTAAAGAAGGTATACAACTGTTCTAATGCAATTTAGGTATATTGTGAATGTAATCATTCAAGTATGCAGGTCTTTTGATTTCTCTTTGGGTTTTTCTAAGATAGGGATTATTTTGATCACTTGTCTGAGGAGAGTGATTACTCAAAACTGGCTCATTAAGGCTTGATACTGGAGATGACTCTAGAAATGGAATACTATCAATAATGTGATGGTTAAGAGGTGATGTGGATGTGATGCTAGCAGGTGATATTTTATTGTTACTAACAGGTGACAGTTCATTATCCATGTGACTTGCACTATCTAGATTACTTTCCATATTGGTTTGAACATTGCTATCAATATCATCCACAAAGTCAAAAAAGGGACACATTTCAATACAGAAGGAAAAGAAGAAGCATCTGGAACAATTGCAAAGGGAAAGATATTTTCATGGAAAGATACATCTTTTGAGATTTGAATCTTCTTGGTAGCAAGACTCAGGACTTTGTACCCTTTGACTCCAAAGGGATAG